AACTAGCATAAAATATTAATTATAAATAAAATGTAAAATTCATATGCAAAAGTTATAGCACTTTACTCTTAAATGGGGGCTGTACACTGCTACCTCCCACCTCGTAGGTTAAGGGTTTGAGTCTGCTTTTTAACCAGTGTATGCAGTGTTTGCATCCTCTCCCTGTGCTGCGTGTATTTTTTTCAGGTACACAGGTTTCCTTCCACAGTCCAAAGTCCAAAACAATGCAATCTCGAAACTGAGTATGTTATGATTGTCCATATGTGTCCTGTGATGGATCAGCTTTACTCTGACCAAGATATGCTGCCAGGAAATGGGTAGTCAAAAAAGATATGTCATTCAAATAGTTCTGATAGGTGAAATTATGAGCTATTTCGTACCTAAGCAAATAAACACAAAACTAAATACAAATATACCTCTGCTTTACCATATATACATTACACTATACTTAGTGTGTAGAGTGCCTTAACGGGGGGTATTTAACAAGAGGTGGTATTTATAGACAGGATGTAGACTGGTATATGGAGAGGGAAGGTTTACAGAGGAGGCTGACGTGCTGCTTCCATTCACTCATAGCTTCATCATCAGCTTAATTTAACGGGTGTAAGTAGGTATATATTGCTAGTTTAAAAGAAGAATGCACAACTGATTTTGATTATCTTTGCGAGAGCATATAAACATGCTGGTATTATAGTCCATACGGCAGTCATTGAGATGTGGAGATATGAACAAGATGATGGGGAATAATTAAAATAGAGAGAGAGAGAGAGAGAGAGTGTGTGTGTGTGTTTGTGAGAGAGGGAGAGAGAGAGAGAGAGAGAGAGAGAGGAGAGAGAGAGAAGCCCTGCAGCTCTCATCTCTTTGCCCCAGTGCTTCTACAGATATGGATGTGATTATTCTGTGTGCCATGTTAATGAGAAGCCCCACTCCTCCCCCAAGCATAGTGTTCAAAAACAATTATTCCCCAATTTGGCAGTGCGAGGCCCAGTCACCTTTCTGCAGTAAACGTCATCATGATGCCCCAAATCTCAGCATCTTTCAATTAAAACCCTGGTTTTAGACAAGCAAAAGGTGATTACACCTTGATAACAGAGGCTGCTGGAGCAAGATGATTCTGATTGGACTGATGAGTAATGATGTTAACAGGAGGATCACTTTGGGGTTCATTCATAACAGGAGAGCGAAAGCATCAGGTCTCTTAAAAGAGGGACATAGATCCACAACAGAATGACTGGCCGCTTAATTGCTTATCAGAGCAAGTTTCCTCAATCTTTATCAAGGACCTGGGAAGAACGTTTGCTGCTAAAGCTTTCCATCAAAGCAGCCATTAACCAGAACGATTTTACACAAGCACCCAGTTCTGAGGTTGTCAGCCCCATGACACCTTTGTTTCATCTTCTGTGATTGGTTACAGTGGTGTCAGCCTCAAGCTGCAGGAGATATTCTGCCCTCAGCGGCGGCAGCAGCAGCAGCAGCACTGAACGACTTGATTGGGCCCCGAACAAGCTGCCCCTGTCACCTCTGCCCACTGCTGACGCACATGCAGTTCATAGACGTCACCACACTGCTCAGTCAGTTTCACTGCACCACGCGTGCTCCCCCCACTATTACATCACGCATGCTGAACAGAAAGCCAGCCTCCAGAGGCATTTTCAATTCATTTACGATCATTTTTCACAGAATGAGGGTAGATGCACAATAAACATTAAAAAAAACACCAATACTCATCAGTCTCATCAGTATGAGTGCTCAGCTAACAGGGAGCTGGGATCACACTTATTGCCTCAGGGGGAGAAAACGTTGCCAGATGTCTCGCACCAGCAAGCCACATCAAAGCTTAAACAGGTCTCTGCAAGAAAGTGTTGAATGAGTGCCACCTGTTGGTCTGTAAATTGCTAACACTAAACAACGAGTTCAAATACCAAAAGCACTGCTTGTAGTAGGAATCCCTGTTACTATGTGTATGACAAATGAGTTGAAAGCAGGTATGAAAAATTTTAACCGATACCAATAACCGATAATTAAGTCCTTGTCATGGCTGATTCCGATAACCAATAAGTTCATATTTTTATATTTGCTATAATTTTCATATAATCTGCAGTTTTCTGTACCCAGGAGACTAGAAAATATAAGATGCACTAATGAAACAGATATTTTGTAACTCTGGGCTAACTATAACAGTAACCATCAGTCTCTTCTAATGCTGTTTTGTATTTTTTGTGTAAGGCACCACAGTACTTAGTAGCAGTATATTGGGCTTTACAAAGATTAAACTTAAGGCCTGTGGTCAGTTGCTGTAGATAAAAAACAGCAGTAAAAGATACTCATAACCCAAACATTTTACATATGAAATCAATAAATCAAATGCACTGACATATCAAATCACACAACTCTCAAGACAAGGGTTTAACAGAACAGTCATATTCAAGTATTTTATGCATAATAAAGAAATGCATCTATTCAACCTTCAGTGCATGATGATGAGGTAGGTATTTATATAGACTTTTTAAGTGTTTTTCGAATACATAATAAATTAAATGCATTGACATTTGTCAACCTCGAAAAAGAAAAAAAATACAAAATAAAAATAAAAATAAAGAGCATCCTCAACAAAAGGGCATAGTAGTTTCAAGTTACCCTGAAAGTTTCAAGTTACCCTCACTGCTTCAGCAGGTTCACATCAATAAAATATGTTTATAAATGTCTTTTAAAAAGCGTGTTTTTGTTATTATAAAGAACTCATTTGTATTTAGCTCGGCAGTGCAACCGACATGTTTTACTGTGGGAGCACAGGTTACCAAGGGGAAGTGGACGTGAGGGTAGATTTTGTCTGGATCTCTGTGAGGTCCACGTTCAGAGCACCATCAAAGCACAGACAAGAGGGACAGGACTTACTTTATGCTTGGTGTTGAGCATAAATTAGAGAAAGGAAATTGAGTATAGGTTTTTTACTTCTACAGAAACATGCCATACTTCATAAATGTAACTTTTAAAAGCACCTTTGCCTGTAGTGTTGGAACTGGAAGTATGAACATTCAGGCCCACGGCTTGTGACACAAAGAACAGATGAAAAGGCAGAAGCAGCACGACTGGCTAAAATGTGGGGGGCATTGATTCTTATAAAAATACAATTTGCCAATATTCAAGTCAAAAAAATATTTACATATTTGACTCATTAACAAGTCAAAAAAATATTGAGGATGTGTCCATATATCGTGTGATTAATCAATAACGTAATTATTGTGACAGGCCTAGCAATCAGTACATCCTCACCATTGTGTTCTGCAACTCACTTTCCAGAATCGGTGTCATTACATACACATAAAGCACACTAAAAGTCAGCAAAGACATAGTTAAGTACACAGTGAATTTTCTTTTTACAACATTTGGCATTACCAAAAAGCATCCAGAAGGCATTTTAGGGAAGAAGTGCTTGACTTTGAGGAGGGACGTTTTATGGCCCTATAGTTGAATGTTAGTGGTTGTTAGCCTGCGTGTGTGTATATATTTCACATTGTGGGGACCAAATGTTGCGACTCTGTTAAAAACCTGATAATTTAGCCGTGTGGGGACATTCTTTTGGGGAAACTCAGTTTCATAAAAATCTGTGAATGCAATCAAAAAACTAAAAACGCTAAAAGTATTTCATTACGTACGCTTGGTTACTTATGGTACGTGTTCCAGTATTTTTGTCCATTTTGTGTGCGTGTCTACACACAAATCAAGCCACAAATAATTGCAACCGTGAAAACTGAACACTAAGAACAGTTTCTAAACAAACCGGACTTTTCACGTTTATTTTAAAATAAATTTAGCCCATTTCAAGGACTGGTCCTTCGGCGAACCGCAAGCTTTTTTCGCATTCAGCACGCTAAAAGTTTGCTAAAACTCTAAGGAAAAAATCACGTGAAAATTATAACAATATCAAACTTTATATCCATTTAAAATCATTTCCCGATCGAAATAACGTACAAATAATGTTAGATAACGTTTCAAAATGGCTGCTAAGCAAAAGATGCCTTTCTGTTTATTTACACGTACAGCAAAGCATCCACGTCTTAAAACATGCTGTCGGTCTCTGTACCACTGAATGGGTCCAGTGATCAAAATCCATTATCTTTCTTTATCCACAAAACAAGCTAAATTGGGCAAACATTGCAAGTACTAGCTCTAGATAATGCCCCACTTAAACCAATGTGAGCAAACTTCTCATGTTTTACTTTATTTCAGTGACGTTTGAAGTAATTCTAACTCAGAGAAATAAAATAACGGGGGAAAAGCACGGTTTATCCGAAAGCTGTTTACAAACCAAGCACTTAAATCGTACACGTGAAAATACAGACACTTCACCGTGTTCGGGTCACTTCCAGAAACATGTGCACAAGGGTTAAAAGGTTAGAGACTCAAAAAAACGTAATCAATCCGAAGATTGGCGAAGGACACTCGGGCTCAGAATTCAGTGTCGGTGCCTCGCATCACATTCGCTAGATAATCGACAGCTGTGATATCTGCAGCCTACAGAGTCCGGCACAATCAGCCACTTTTGGCAGCTCCTAGTCGCCCATAGCAAAAAAAATAAAAATAAGGAATGGACTTGTTTGAGTGGGAAAGAACAACTGCCTGCTCCTTACTAAGAATTTCTGTGGCCCAATATATGAAGCTAGGAAATACAATTCCCATAATCCCATGCGGGAGACAGGTCGGTTACAAGAAACCCGACGAGTTTCCATGTCCTCAGTAATTACAAGGTTATACACTTTTGTTACTCACAAATTTGTTTTTTGTTAATGCGGTTTGGTGAGACTTTAAAGGCTTAAAAGAACGGCGTGAATTAGAAGGATATATCCCTTTTAGTAAATAACTCCCTTACGTTTTATTCAGACTGAGCAGTATGTAGTCCACGTTACAAAACAGTGTATCCACGTGACACAATTTAGCCGCAACCAGGGGGAGGCGCCGACTGCGGATATGAGATCCCGCCCCTGCACCTCTGCGAGCTTCGGAAAATAGGAATGTATCACAAACTTCTGTAGTTATTCAGCGGGTGGGGCAACAAGTTGTAAAAGGGACAGCACTAACGCTACCAATATTTCTCTGAATTGCCACTAGCTCCCGAGTGATCACTGTTTTCTAAACTGTCTAAAGATGCCGAACAAGAGAAAGCACAACCGTCATCAAAAATCTAAAACGGTGAGCAAACTATTATTATTATTATTATTATTATTACTCTCTACGTTTGCTGCGTTGTGGGTCCCAGAAAATTATTTCAGTAGTAGGATATATAACATAAGTATACAAAACATGAAAAACATGTTGCGCAGTTAGAGGAATGATTTATGCATACTACAGTGCTTTTTCCTAATTACATGTTCTCGGAGTTAAGAAACATCAGCTAATGTATAATTTTCTATAAATTTGTACTATCTTGAAATTAATTATCGTAAGATTGCATCCATTGGATTTAATAATCACGAGCTTTATGGGTAATGATGGAAATCATGTTTATGTTTAGAGCTAGGATCTCATTTTACGGTTTCTGCTAGCGACCTATAAAACTATATGAATTTTGATTAAAATAATTCTTAGTTTAAGAACATGTTGTTACACTTTGTAATACAGGCTAATACAGTTTGCGGTTCGTTTTCAGGGGGTTGGGCGTTTTAGGATTCCCGTTTTAAAGGCAAGCTGTCCTCTTAGGTCTTGTAGCAATTAGTGTCTATTGTTTCATTCTTTAATTTGATATGCGAACTTAACTTGGCAAATAAGTTTAGAAGGTGTTTGAACTGAATCGTCAGTTACGATTTTTACGCTCAGTTTACGTTCATGTATATTTCGGCTGGATAAAACTTTTTGGTAGGACATCGCAAACCCTACCAAAAAGTTACCCGTTTTTTTCGGGTAACATACAATAACGTACGAATGCAAATGTACCAGCATAATAAACAACCATTAATTAAAGTCTCACTTTTAGCGGATTGGGATAAATCCCTTTCAGCCCTAATCCCGAGGTGCTCAAATTCACCTTCAGGCTACACTATACTGGATTAAATAAGCAAATTGTTTACCGTGTTTATGCCATTGCGTTTGAGGCAATATTAACATTAATGATTACCTCATGCATCCATAAGTGCATTGTCTATAACAAAGGTGTCAGACTCCAGTCTTGGGGGGCCGGAGCCCTGCACATTTTTGGGTTTCCCCTCGTTTAACACATAGCTGTTGAGCTTAATCATTTGTGGCGGAACATGGAAAGAACTAAGCTACACAGGGCTCCGGCCCTCCAGGACTGCAGTTTGACACCCCTGCTCTATAACACGCATTTTCAGTACAGGGTAATGGTGAACATGAGGTATATCCATGAAAAATAAGGTCGGGGAGACTGAGACTAGGTAAGCCTTTCCTGCTTAAAGCTGCAAAACTGGTATATTACACAAGTGGCATTCCCCCTTATAGTTGTAGATAAATAATAAATCTCAATTGACAGCAAACGCGAAACAATGTATGACTGTTAAACCTAATTTTAATTAAGATTACGTTATTATGTATCGCATAAATTGTGTTGTGCTAACAGTTCTTACATTGTCTGCCACAAATGTTGTCAGTTTCATAACTTACTGTAGATCACATAATTCTCATTATTTTAGGACAGATCTCAGGAACTAGTCGTCACTGAAAAGTGATGAAGGGTTGTATCAGTTTTATAATTCAAACCACAGGATAATGTACATTTCTTTTGGACAATACCATGATATGTGTGTGTGTGTGTGTGTGTGTGTGTGTGTGTGTGTATATATATATATATATATATATATATATATATATATATATATATATAATATGCTTAAACATACAGAGATATTGTTTTTGGTCCATATTGTCCAGCCATACTTGGTACTGAGGGAAGTCATGAAAGTTCAGTAGTCCCCCTGTATCCACTAGTTGCTACTGTAAAATTTTACTGTGTACCTGAAGAGTTTTGTTAATTGTATTTCTCTTGCTGTATGATTCATGGCCTTTTCAGGTATAAATTTCATAGTATCAGGGCTGGAAAATAAACTTGCCCACTTTTCTGAGGCAAGGAAAAAGCTGAACAGAAAAATCACGTCAGACTAAATTTTTCACTGAACTACCCCAGTTGGCTAGTAGCAAAAATTGTGAAGTTCCACCCCTGGATAGTATGATGTAACACCAAATGCTTTGCTCTTGTAAGAAAGTAAGAAATGCTGCTTTTAGGAATGTAGCTAATCTTCAACCGAAGTCGCTATACTAAATTTTGCAGTAAGGTTAGCAGACAAGTTAATATTTAGTATTTCTGCAGAACAAGTTATGATATGGTACCTTTTTGTATTTTCTAGCAGCTTTACTTAATATAATTTTGCCCTTCCTTTTTGGATCTGTCAGCCAAATCGCTTGTGCAAGATGGAAAATAAACATCACTCCACAATTAGCATTTAATTTGGTAGGCACTGCCCTCTAGTGTCAAAAGAAGGTTTGATCTAATGAGTAGATCAGAATCTTTTTACTGTTACAAAGTATTTGTCTCCACTATCGTCTCTTTTTATTATATCCTCCTGAGATCCCACCCATTCATTTATGTCCATTGTAGTGGACATTTTGTTTTTGCATCTATCTTTTCACTGATGTAAGGAAACGTATTTATTCCTGTTGTGCACTAAAGAGGACATGCTGTGAAATTAAAAATAAAAATAAATTTGAAAAAATCTAAATTGTAAGATGTCTTATTTCCTCCAAAGACAAATAACCTAAAATTGAAGGACACTTTTTTTCCTTGGGTCTCAGGAAGATATAACAATAAAGACTCTGACCGAGCCTTTGGTCAAGAGAATGCAAGTGGCACACCTCTGTTTCTGTGAGAATACTCTTGTAAGCTACCTCAGAAGTGATCCATTGTTGTCAGTTTATTTTTTGACTTTTATTTTTTGTATTCTAATGTCAATTGTGTTGTATTGCAGTATAATGGGAACTGCTTACAGTGATCAACCACTTATGTGGATCAAAAAGTTTGGGACAGAATCATTCCTGTACAAATGCTGTTTAAATAATTTTCTTTGATCACCTTATTTTGCGTTGCGGTAACCTATCTGCTTCTGTCTAGCTACCTGAGGCTAATGCGGTGTGCACAGATGGGCAAAAGAAAGTAATTTTCTCTCAGTGACAAATATAGACTTATGAAAGCTTATGATAAACTGACAAAACGAGCCACTGAGACAGCAGTGAAACTACAATAAGCACTTTGAGACAATGTAATGTCGTGGAAGTGCGCTGTATAAATAAAGTTGAATTGAACTGAATTTGTGTACAGTACTGTACTGTATTTAGTGTATTTTATCTATACACAGTTCAGTAATTTTATTTGTGCAGGACTGTAATTTGAAGAGCGTTTGAAACAGCTGTACTGTATTCTGTATTTGTCAGTAAAATTCAGTAAAGTGACGCAGTCCGTTTTATTACCTTATATTTATGTAATAAATATACAAATGTCAATTAGATGGAAATCTGCCTGAGAAATAAAAAAGAAGAAAGAATTGGTTATAATAGTCATCCTTTTACAGTGATCAATTTCACCCAGACAAACGTGATCACTGGAAAACAGATTCCACTGTATTTTTGAGCACTTACATTTTGCTATATTAAGTCAGTTAATATAATAATATCATATCTTTTTAAAAGTAACCGGAGATGATGGAGTTTATGTGGTCAAAAATAAGTTTTTTTTTTTTTTTTTTTTTAAATTACTATTAATCTTCCTAAATATGTTGAGTATTTAGTTTTGGGTATGTAGGGTATTCACATAAGATTAAAAGTATTTTTTGTATTTGACTTGCCCTTGTAAACAAGTCAGTAAATGAACAATGATGTATTCATTCCACAGTCCTACCCGTGCTCTCTGATTCTGCACATGTATAAATGATGGTGTTTTAGTTGGCAGCCTTTACATGTGTTTGGTGCCTTTTGTTCAGCTCCATTGTTTCAGGGGCTTTTTGGCTTTTGATGGGAGTTTCAGCTCATTTTGAAGATCCCCAGTCGAGTGTGTTCTACCCTGGTTGACATGTTTGCCCCAAGAAGAAATGTGATCACACCTTGGGAGTAAAAAAAAAAAAACCCAGCAAAATAGCAGGACCTAATACTTCTTTTATACTTTGTATGTTGTAGTAGTATAACCAGTGTGGTCAGATTCAGGTCTTAGAATTGGCTTTTTTCTTTTTTTTTTTCTTTTTCTGACCTTTTCAGTGATGACTAGTAAGAAAATTTTATGACAATTAATGTAATTATACTTTCTGGAAGATTTGCTTCTTAATGAAATATAACACTGCTATGCATGAGTTCTGATGTTTTGCAAAACATCTTAATTTTGATGTGCCGATTTCAAAAATATCCTTTTTTTTCTGTATCATATGGTTTATTTGGTATTTGATTAAATTAGTTATAAATTTCAGTTATAATATGCTCAACCAAATCACCAGGGCTCAATTTTTATGTTTTACGTGGGATATTAACATTAATGCTGGCTGCACCTTAAACAGTAGTGCATTGCTTAATTTAAAGGGTGCCACTTTACAATAAGACTCCCTTTTAGCATTTGTAAATGGTAGTAACTCATTAATAAAAAGAAAACTGTGTTATAACTTGTTTTAAATTATCTATTAATAATTTACAAAGTGTTACAACCTAATTAGTAAGCAGATTGTAAACCATTCATAAACCCTTTGTATGGGTAGCCTTATTGTAAAGTGGCACCATTTAAAGATATTATAAGCACCATGGCGGTGGCTGTAATGATGAAAAGCTGTTCATCTAAAAGAATTGTGTTAATTCCACTGTTTCATTTTGCTACATATGTGGAAACTATACTCTACAGAGACAAAGACAAAAAATAACTCATTTTGTGAAGAAAGCTTACCATATGCATGTAGATTGGGGACCAAGATGAGCCGCAGGCACTTCATAGAGTATGCAAACATGGGCGTGAAAAAATCACTTGGTTTTTGAATTCCAATGGTCTGGCGTGAACCCAAAAATCATGGTGATGATTGTTACTTTTGCATGGTTCAATTCAATTCCATTTATTTTTGTATATCACCCTAAGGCGCTTTACATGAGTGTGTTGTATAATGCATTACAACACCATTGAGTGAGATCATGGGATGTCAACATGATGGCAGATTGTT